GAATACGCTTAAGAAGCAATTAAAAAAGATTTAAGATCAGTAGCTGGATAAGATGTCTGGAGGTCACCGCAAGGTCGCATGTTGTATAAATGGTACAAATGAGCGTCACGTTTTCCTCGGACATCAGGCAAATGTTTTTGTTATCCTTTAAACCTGGGTCAGAAACCTTAATCCATTTCACTTAAACTTTTTTAGACCGACCGATTGCGTGACTGGCTGATAAAGACCATAGGCTGTTGTATTCATCAGTCATGGAATTAACGTGCCCCGTCGACAAATATTGTGTCAACCTTTGACATGAAGTGTACACAAATCTGATTTTTAAAAGCCTGAAACGAGGCCAATAGTTTTTCTTATTAGCTAAATCTAGTGAAAAATAATTTGCCATTCTTAGCTTGTACTTTCTTTAATCTTACTTCGATTTACTTTGCATTTTATATGCTAGTTTTATCGTTATAGTTTTTGTTTTGTTTGTTTAATCCCTTGCTACATTTCTGTTGTTTCTTTCTAATTTGTTAGTCATCAAGTATTTATTAATTATAACAATAGAAAAAAACTAAGTAAACTAAGTAACTAGTACCTTGTGTTATAGATTAAAGAAAAATCAATTATAGGAATTTCCTTTCTTTGGAGATACTTTATACATAAATCAGAGTTGGGCATTATCCGAATTGTTTCGAAAATATATTTGCCTGAACTAATTATTCGAATGAATTCTTTTCAGTCGAATATTTTATATGAATAACAATTATTCATTATTCGTAACAGATTATTCTATCTATTTATTCGAATAAACTATTCGAATAAAGATTGTAAAATTATTCGAATAATGGTATAAATAATTCTTAATCATTTTATCTTAATTTATTAAGCATATATGCGTTGCAAGTATGAATCTCGGAATGTACGATGAGTTACTTTGCACCTGAAGAAAGATTATTTAATCATGTATCAATGATCAATTTACCCAAAAGTAACAAACTTTTTCGATGTAATAATTGATAAGAAAGTTAATTATGAACATTAGCATTTCCGAATTAATTTCTGTACAAATAAATTCTCTTATTCGAATAATAAATAACTTCTTATTCAGATGAATTTTTATTTGAATAAAATCTTATTCGGATACATTGCTATCTAGATAAATTTTTATTCGACTAGATATTTATTCGATAGTGTCGAATAAAGTTTTATTCTGATATAAATATGAAAGAAAAGATAGACGTAGTTGATTTTGCTTTAAACACAGCTGAAAGAAAAGGAATGGTTTTGTCGTATGAAGTATTGTCAGCGAATATTCCAGAGTAGTGTAATTGTTATACTCAGGGTGTGTTACTTCAATTAGTGGTATTTTGCACGAAGCCACAGTGGTTTCATAATACCCAAGCGAATATATTTGTCAAGGTTAACCATCACTAGCATCACAAATAGAAGTATGATCCTTCTGAACTCTACAGTTGGGGCAGTGTTGCGTGCATTCTCTAAACTGCCTTTGCCCTCTCAACCCCTACAACTTTTTGCCTTCTATTTCTTTTATTTATATGCGATCACCCCTTGGAAGCCATTTACACTTTAAACACTTAATTACCCTCTATCATCACTTAGTCTTTATTAATCTTTATCATTGGTTAACGAATTGAACTAAAATTGAACTAAAAATTCTATCAATGAAGCATCAACAGAGTCACAACAATTTTTTATTATTAATTAAATTTATTAAATATACTGTTCTTTTTAATAAAATTTGTAATCAAATGTATATGATATCTAGGCTACGGACTTTTATGCAAAATTTTAAGAAACAGGTAATACACCAAAAAGTTTACTATTTATAAATTTAATAAGATGAATATAGTCTAACAATATTCTTCTATTCTTGTAAAGTTTATACAGTTGTATTTCAATTATTAATTTTTGTCATAAATACATGACGTCTGGAGTATAGTAATATCGTATGATATATATTTTTATAATATTTCTATAATAATCAAGACGATGTAATTTGCATAAAACAGAGCAAATAACTTCCATCTTCATCGCAATTTAGAATTAACACCGAATTAAAAAAAAATAAATGAGATTGCATTGTTAGATATGTTATATTTAAACAGTATAAGCGAATGTTACGTACATATGTATCAATGTTAATCCATTATAAATGAGATCATATTA